CAAACATCGAAGTTATCAGAACAATGAACAAACTGCAAAGATACTGAGCTTATTAACACAATTTATTTCAGAAAGCTCCAATAACTGGGTCTCATTATGAGAAATGAGAGCTGAAATCCTATACTTCAATCCATTTTGTAAGGAAAAATGTATCTACATCTTAGGTTTGTATTGGTCGTATCTCGATAAATTTATATTTCAGCAGTCAAAACCTATAAACAATTTGTTTCTTATTTATTAAAAAAAAAACATAAAACAAAGCTACTAATTAGTATTAAGTACGTTATCTGTGTATCATTTTTGTACAAATGCATGTCAGTGCAAGTAAAAAACTGACTTTTTAAAAAACTAAAAAACCTAGAACACTAAAAAAAAAAAAATGTTTAATAATGTAAACAAAATGAACATGCTTGATTTTTAAAGTTGTCTACATAGTAAATTGTATCCTATTCCTACGTTTAACTACATAAAATGTCATTTATAGTCTGTTTATCACACGTGTGGTAGTCGCAATTATGCACTGGTTCCTATAACACATAGGCTTAGGTATAAAGAACACAAATAAGGAACATAAAAAACCAAGAAGCATAGAAATGTCCTTTTACGGAACAATTATTGGATACTAATCATAGCATAAAACCATTTACAAATTTAAATAGTTCTAAGGAACTTAATATTTGAGAAGCAATAGTAAATTTCTGTTATAATGTCTTCTTAAAAAAGGGTTTTGTTTAATTTTACTCACGATACCTCATTATATTAACTTTGATGTTTGTTAGTTAAATTTTAAATACGCGAAATGAATAAACAGTATGTTTATTTTGGTAGTTTACATTATTTTTAATATAAATTGCTAATTTTTAAAGTGATGTTTGTATAATTGTATATTGCTCTACATTTTAATAAAATAAAACTATTTTTTTAATTAACCTTGGGGTTTCATTTTAGCGATATACAATGTGTTCTTGGAAATTTCCCAGTGGAAATTAAATTTTATCTTCCTAGTGGGAAGTTGTCATGCATATATATTTTAACAACCAATCAAATTTAAATAAAAACCTTCTACCATATTACACTGGGAAATTTATTTCAATTTTACGTATCTTGAAAGATACATCGACAAGTTAAGGGTTAAATTTAATTAACACAAATTATATTTATGTGAGTTGTAAGAGACTGACATTACTCAATAATCAAAAAAACAAATATTTTACATTTTAATATGATTAAAAATGGTTTGAAAAACTTGTGGAGTTTTATTGACTGTAAATATACATGTACAAATATTATAAATGCGTATTTTAATACTTGAAGTTTCAAGTTTATGGCAGGAGGAAGGTTGAGTGTAGTATTATTTTTATCTCCGCGCATTTCCCAACCGTTATTCCCCTCCCATCCTAACTTTAAAACTCATGTAATTTTAAAAATAATTCTCCGAAACTGGTTACCGACCAGTTTAAATTCCTAGTATATTATCCTCAATTTAAGAATTTAATAAAATATATACGTTGCCATTTCAGTTTTAAAAGTAGCTATCAAAAAACCTAAGTTGGGAGGGGGATAAAAACAAAAAAAATTATGAAAAATTGAGATAACACTGTATCACAAAAATGTGTAGAAAAATATTTTAATTTCTTATTAAACCCTATGAATTATTGAGTGGTTCACGATAAGTGGATCGCCCTGTATACTTTTATATACAAATTATAAACGGGTATTTTAATAAAAATTAATTTAATTTTAATCAAATTTTTGTAATTCCATATGATATAATCAGGGGTTCGGAATTCGTTCCTATTTGACTCATTTCTCTTTTATGTCCCAGAACAAATACCCGGAACTCGTTCCTCAAGATATTCGTTCCGGAGCAAATACCCGAAACTCGTTCCTCGAGATATTCATTCCGGAACAAATACCCGGAACTCGTTCCTCAAGATATTCGTTCCGGAACAAATACCCGGAACTCGTTCCTTGAGATATTCGTTCCGGAGCAAATACTCGGAACTCGTTCCTTTGATATTTGTTCCGGAACAAATAAAATGTAATTGTTCCTTGTCATTATTATATAATTTATTAATGGAGCAAAATGTATTTGTTCTACGTATTATGTTGTTTCGTTCGAGTTTATTGAAGGTGCACATTTTTTTTGTTACTTTATTCTTTGTGTGTGGTATTTTAGAAACAATAGCCACATTAATGTAAGTTAAATATTAATTAATTTAAGTTAAACGTTAATTAATTTACCAAAAGATTATAGTTAATGCATTTAATATAACAATCAATGTTATTTTCAGTTTACATAAATGTATATAGTATATACATGATGAAAGTTAACCTGTTAACTGTTAAATTTCACTCCATTTAGTCCTGACAACTTCTTACCTGACGTGTGTCGCAGTCGTCATCCTTTTGCATACATTCCTTTTAGTGGTGGCACAAGAAACTGTATTGGAATGAAATACGCAATGCTCCAAATGAAGACTGCGATATCTACTCTTGTAAGGTCCTACCGTTTTTCGCCATCAAAGAAATGCCCTACTCCGAAAGATCTTAAATTATCGTGTACCATAGCACTGGAATTTAGCAACGGATGTTATGTTAAAATAGAACCAAGATCGTAATTGGTAGCAATTACGAATTAAAATATTTCCCTGTCTTAAATTAATAAGATTTAAAATTTTAATTAAATTTGATTAAATCAAACAGTTAATTAACTAGTTTTTGATTTACTTCCGTGATGATGATGACTGCTGTGATGGTCAATTTTTATCTTACTCTTTTTAAAGAACTCTAACATAATTAAATAATATATTTTTTTTAATTGACGCACTAAAGAGCAAATGATAAAGGTGAAATAAAGATATACAAAAAGGAATAAAAATGTAACAAATTTATTGATGATTTACACTAAGATCCTCAATATGCGAAACATTTATAAGATTAGCACCATCTATATTATACGTAAACAGTTCAAAAGATCGTTTACGACAAAAAGTGATCTGAACATTTTTAGAGATATTCAAACATTGACCATTTGACTTTTACAATACCCAGTTATGTTCAAATTATCCTGTTAATTGCGACTATTAACAACTCAACAAACACTTGTATAGAATTTACACCATCGGCCAAAAACAAACAGCAAGAATGATGGAAAAAACAGTATTATCATTTATTAAAAATACGATGAATAACGATGGAGTTAAGTGAATACCGGAAGAAATAACATTATTAATACTAACTGGATGCCACCTACCTGAAGCTTATAAATCAAACCAGTTAAGATAAGGGTTCTTCAGTTCAACATATTTTAATTTACCACACAGAACATTTCAATTTAATGTATCAACGTTTTTTTATATTAATAAAAACTGCATCTACATGCCCTCTGGTCACAACAGTAGAAACAATATCGAAATAAAATACAAGTAAAATTAACAATAGTTGATTTAATATTAAATTGTATAATTTACTATTTGTATAATATAGATTATAAAAAAAAATTGTAATATTCGGTTTTTGGTAAACCATTGATAATGAACAAAAAAAATAATAAGATACATATTTATTTGCTATTTATAATAATTATAACCATTATAATATATAAAAAGGTGTTAAATAACTTTAATAAATACATATTAATTATAACTAATGTACATAGAACCAAGTGCTTTTTTGTACTCTAAAACATTTTCCAGCCCATAACATTTGATTTTTTAAATTTAAGTATTTACCCTTTTAAGATATCTCCGTTAACTATACATCCTATTATACAATTTTGAAATCCAATAAAAATACCCTGAGAAACTTTTAATAATTTTAATAACAAAAAAAAGGGTATTTAAATTTGGTTTCTAAAACAGTAAACGATTTCAGTAAATTCTACATAATTAAAAAATATGTAAATACTATAAGCTACCAATTACGATCTTGGTTCTATTTTAACGTAACATCCGTTGCTAAATTCCAGTGCTATAGTACACGATAATTTAAGATCTTTCGGAGTAGGGCATTTCTTTGATGGCGAAAAACGGTAGGACCTTACAAGAGTAGATATCGCAATCTTCATTTGGAGCATTGCGTATTTCATTCCAATACAGTTTCTTGTGCCACCACTAAAAGGAATGTACGCATAAGGATGACGACTGCGACACACGTCAGGTAAGAAGTTGTCAGGATTAAATTGATCTGGATCCTTATAGCTATGTGGATTTGAATGCAAACAATAAATCGGAATCAAAATAATAGTGTCTGTAAATAATAATATTTGACAACTATTAATTAGGGACATGCAATTTAAAAAAAATATATTATTTTTAATAGGTTCTACCCGCCGGGATAAGATATTCTCCAATCATCATTTCGTTTTGTACTTGTCTGAGCACTATAGGAATAGCTGGATAAAGTCGCATGGTTTCTTTGATAACGCGTTCTAAGTATTCCATTTTTTGTAAATCCTCGTATGTAGGCGATCGGTTAAAATCACCATCCGAAAATATTGAATTTAATTCTTGATATACCTAGGGTCGAATATAATTAAATAATTTTAATTTTTAATAATTATGGAATTGTAGTTTATTACAGAAATAATTACATTTTGTTGAACATCTTGATGATGAGCCAGCAAAAATATAATTAATGAATTTACCTTTGCAGTTGTTTCATGTCCCGCTTAAACAAAAATTCATTTAAATAACGTTTATTTAACAGAATTTTGGAAGTAGTTCTTATTGTAAGTTAATATTTTATTTTTTTGGGAAGGGGAGAAAGTTTGAATTTGAAAAGAATAAGATGAATAATTTCCTTTTATTTTATCATTATATGTATATTTTGAGTGCAACATATGATGTTTTGACTTGATGTATACAAATATTACCAGAAACATAATAATATATAATACATCATTAAAATACCAATATTTTTAACTCCAAAAATAAGCTAGAACACATTGCTAAAATTTACTTTTTACCGCTATAGAATTTAAATAATATATTGCTTACCACTTATAATGGTTATAAGTTCGTCCTTCATTTCTTTATGTGTTACTTGATGTTCGTTTGCTAACAGAATTTCAATTAGATATTTAGGCTTTTGATAACTACAATCTTCATCACGACACCCGTTAATGGTAGATTTAGCTTTTTCATTGAGCTCGACTTTTTTTTTCTGAATTAAATCATTCACATATTCATGCATTAAATGTTGACTATTTCGTTGTTCATGTTTTTTCGATGACAGTGAAAATAAACTTGAGCTTAAAAACCACGGATTCGAAAGTCGGTATGCATAGATCTGGAATTAGAAAAAAAACAATAACCTCTTTAACAGATACTTAATAACAACATTGTTAGTCCAAAATTGTATCTTCTCCGTCCCATTGGATTATTTTGCTACAAAAATGTAAAATAAAAACAAAACATTTTTTACTTCTGCTAGACGTGCATAACTATTTCGGAAATCGTGGTTTTCTTTGTTTTGTGAATTAAATTCTTCTCCCAACGCTGTTCTTCCAATAGTGTCTATCGATGCTAGTTCGAAAAATTGGCTAATTTCAAGTTCCATTGATTTTCTTTTACTCTTTTCACTCAATATGTGTTCAAGAATTCTAGATTCTTCGTAGAATAAAGTATATAATGATTTTAAATTTGAATACTTTAGCCATTGATTTATAATTTTCCTAAATAACGTACGTATTATTAATTACTCATCTCCTTTAAATAGGAACAGTATGTTCTATTTGTTTCTTACAAAATATTTATAACTATAATATCATACTATATACAACAATAATTTACCTGTTTCTTTTATAGTCATGTATATTATTATTTGTAATTAATCCCTTACTCGAGAAAACGTCTTCAATTATCGAATAAGGTATATTCTTTTGAAAACAGTTTAAACTATTCATTACTTCCTCTACATCATCGGCGTTGGATACACAAACAACCAACTTGTTAAAAAACCAAAATTTAAATAATGAATGCTTGTACCTTAAACAAAATGAATTCATTTTTAAAATTTGTCCACAATTACTTATATTACATATATAAATAATTAACACAATTATCATAGTCCAGGTTTCCCTATTTTTTTCTAACTTGAATAGTTTCAATGGGAAGTCTTTAAAAAATCGTCACGGTAAAAGGCTATCAGCTATCTCCAAAATGATCATCAAGAGTATTTCGTTGAATAGTTATTATATTAAATTAGAAATATCGTGTTTTCATCCATAAATGTGCGGTTTTTACTATATTGCCTTTCAAAAGTTATAAAAATGTGTACTACAACAAAAATTTACAGAAATTTTCATATCTACAGATTTTAACTGACGTTTAGACTCATATACTCAGTATGGCCAATACAGCGGAACGATGACTATCAATCCAAATATAAACTCTGCAATAAATCCGAAAAGTCAGCAAGACATTGGAGACATGAACACATTAAAAAATGTTTTTCATAATATTTCAATACTTAATGTACAGTTTTAAAAACTCCATAAAAAATTATCATATTCGTTGAAATTGTTTATCATCTCAAAATCATGTTTAGTTTGGTGTAGGATCACGTTTTTTCATCAAATATTTGCATGTAAATTACGAGCAATTACTTCTTGTATAATAATAAGCTGGTTTTTACTATATTGTCTTTATAGATTTGAACAAATTATAACTGAAAAACATTTTTTCGGCAACTAGACCACATTATATCACAAAACATATTGTAAATGCTTATTTATGATTACTTACTTCTTACATAATTGTTTCAAGTTCTTTATAAACTTTATTTGTCGTCGAATTAAAATCGTTAGGCTTCCGACAATAAAATGACCTTTTGGACCAGGTATTTGAGCAGCCAAAGTAAATTGTCTTAGTTTTTTTTTCCTTAGCAAAATTACTATAGATATAACTAACACGATAGTAAGTATAATGGAATAAAAATAACTCATATCATGTATCTGAAAATTAAGCAAAATATAAATTGGAAACATTTAACTTACAATGTTATATGGCTCAAATCAATCTAAATAGAACATAAATAAAACATATTTTATCATTATGTATTCAAGAAAGAGACCAAATGATATGGTTGCTGTTGTTATTATTTAGTTAAACATTATAATAATTTTATGTACTTTATAATGGTATTATAAAGTATAACAGTGTTTCACTGTTTCAAACACAAATAGTAAATTTCTCATAAATTGGTTCATCAATTTAAATACATTATAAATAATAACTATTTTAATACATCGCAGTAAAGGAGATGACGGTAGAAATGATTACACTTAGCATTTGTAGCTAAAAATATATTTTGTAACAGGGACGAGCTTGCTGATTCAGGGTTGACTGATACAAAATATTAATCTTAGTGTTCATATATGATACAAAATTTTGTCAACTCATTACATTTTAAAAAACATATAATACTTGTACTAAAAAATATAGTTTAATAACATATAATTAAACATACACAATTTTGAGTAATTTTTTTTTAATTACTTTAAGGTGTCATTCTTCTATATTTGATATTGTGTATTTGTACACTAAATTAAAGTTAGTTTTCCATTTGAATTTTTATTTCAAAGATCACAAAATAGTTAATAATGCTTCTATAATGTTTCATAATAATGTTTCTGGCCGTTTTAAGTTTAAACTTTAATACTAAAATAATATTTATGATTTATTATTTGAGACAATGAAACAATTGAAAAAAAAATTAACAGGTGGTATATTTTAATGTCAAATTGAGTGCCTTGTAATAAGTTATGGTCAACTACATAAAGTACTAATTCATAACTAAAATTTAAATTTTAATTGTCTGATAACAATTATTATCTGATTTGAATATTCCTAATATTGCTTCTGTATAGAGCAAGCACTAACAAAAACTTTAAATAGCAATAACTGTTGAACAGTATGTTAACTAAAAGTCATTTAACATTTTTGTGTTTAAAATAATATTTACTTACATAATATTCCAAAAAATATATGGGGTTCCGGTTTAAATTTGAAGAGTTACAGTAATTTAGAACTATTTAAGGTAAGAATTTAATTTAAGCGTTATAAAATAACACCTAACATCCAAAAGTCAAAATTGTAAAAAAACAATGGCGTCTGAAAAATTGCCCAGTTTCTAACATTTTGAACTATTTTACAATGTTTTATGGCTCAAATAAATTTAAATATAATACAAAAATTAAATATTTTATCATTATGTACTCAAGATAGAGACCAAAGGAATATTATGGTTGCTGATGAAATAATATAGGTATAAAATAAAATAATATTATGTACTTTTTAATGATATTATTGTTACACTATTATAAGTTTGAAACACAAATAGTAAATTTCTCATAATTTGGTTCCTCATAAATGTTTTTTTCTTTAAACTAAATTTGTGTAATGGTCGACAACCAGCTTTAAATAATCATTTTTTAAGTTATTTCATCTTAAAATTTTGAATGAGAGGTGGAGTTTCGTTGAGTATTGCTCACACAGTTTAACGCTAAAATTAGTTTCTAATAAAGGTTAACTACTTAAAGCACTCAAACATTAAATTGGTAGTGAAACTTACTTGTTGAAATAAAAGAATCATGTTTTTGGAAGCCGACAAAATAATACAGTAAAATAATACTATGTACTCTGTAATGATATTTTGACTTAAAACACAAATGTAATGAACCAAATATATTATCTATGTATGGCTATTAATTTGTGTTCACACTAATTTTAACATCAATTTATTCACTTTCAATTATTACATGGCAATCAACTTTTTTTATATTTTTTCCTTGTTTTTGTATTATTTATTTCCCTTAACTAATTTGAAACACTCTAGGTATAATACTGTTGTAAAAAAAACACATCAATGACTTTTAAGCTTCCACCATATAATTTATATATAATTAACTCAATTCTTATTATAATCACACCAAAATTATGTTTAAAAAAAATTAGAATTATGATGGTATATAAATTCTTCTTGGTATGTAATTTAGTGTATATATTATTATGTCAATTAGTTTTTATTCCCACAGTTTCTCTTCGATAATAATTCTAAAATAATTAAAAGAATATAATAGTTTTTTATTTTTAATATAAATGTTAATATTTGATCCTAAATTTAATATAATATGCATCATAAAATTATTAAAGGTAATAAGACTTTTACATTTTTTAATTACTGAGCAAGCTAAAAAACATTACGTAATAATACACAATAAATAATTTAACCTCCGAGCAGTGGCGCCTTTGAGAATCTCGTTGGCGGATGAGCCGCGGTGTTTACACCGCCCAAGAAGATATATTTTGTTTTTTCACCTACCATGTTGATAATCTATCAACTAAAAAACAGGGAACGTTACACAAGGTTGACCTCACATGTTTAAACGCATTGCATTTAGTAAAGGCATAAAGGTTTAAGGTGACCTATAAATGTCGTAAAATAATCTCAAATTTGAAAAATAATAGTACATACACAATTATGTTTAATTTTTTTTAAATAACTTGAAATTGTAATTCTATTAATTTATTATTTTGTGTTTGTACTTTATGCACAAAGTTAAAGATAGTTATTCTAGTAGAATTAGCTGTGAAAGTTTTATTTTATTATATTATGCATATTGATATAATTTTATCATATGAAATTACAAAAATTTGATTTTAAATTGAAATTGAAATTTGAAAATTAAATTAATTTTCTTTAATTTTTATTAAAATACCCGTTTATAATTATTAACCATTTATTCCAAAAATTTTGACTGGTCGGTAACCAGTTTCGGATAACTATGTTTAAAGTTGTCATAATTTTAATGTTAGGATGGGAGAGGAAGTGCGGTTGGTTTGAACAGTATTTTATAAAAAACTTTTTTAACATTTGTGTATTTAAAATATTAATCGATTACAGAATATTCCAACAAATTTATTGGTTTCCATTAAAAATTATAAAAGTTAATACCATGCTTGTTATCACTATGTACTCAAGATAGAGACCAAAGAAATATTAGGGTTGCTGATGAAATAATATAGGTATAAAATATACAGCACGAACATAAACTTTAAAAAGCAAAAATTGTTTTAAAGTATGTACAGTATTATAAATACGTTTAACATGTCGATGGTCAGAAGGTAAAAGAGCGTAAGCGACAAATTTTTCAAAATTGACTTTTTTGGATAAACAGCATAATTATATATCGATTGAACCAACTTACATATCGATATCATAAGTACAGGGTCATCCAACCAACGTAAGAAACCATTTTCTCGGAAATATGAATATTTTAAAAATTATTTTTTTCATATTTTTTTTGATACACGTTATACTATAATTTTCAATACTTTGAAAACGTTTATCTCCATCCCTTATACGATAAGAAGGGTTTAAGTACACGTTTTCAAATGGCAACACACGCTTATAATTTCATAAATTTGTGGGCAAAAAAATTTTAAATATGTTATGGTTTGAATTTTTTATTTTTATCCATCTAGTCATTGGCTATGACTTTGTAAAGTTATTAAATTTTCTCTTAAATATTATTACATATCTTTGGTTTCCGAAGACCGGGAGCCAATAAAATACTTATTTATGATCGCATTGTCCGATAGGTGAGTACACAGAAAACCAAACACAATGAAATGTTTTGTGATAGTCTGGTTGACCAGCGATTCATATCTACAGATTACCGACTTTTCAAACACACCGTCATGACAGATAGGTCGACAGCCCTAAATAAATAAGTGGCTAACGAATGGCTATTTAACCACAACAATAAAACCGTGGTACAAGGTTGATAACAGTACTATAATGATAATACATAATATTATTGTCTCCAATCTAGTTACATAAATATTAATCTAACTAATGTACATAGAACCCAGTGCTTTTTTGTACTCCAAAACATTTTCCAGCCCATAACATTTGAAATAATATAGGTATAAAATAAAATAATATTATGTACTTTTTAATGATATTATTATTGTTTCACTATTATAAGTTTGAAACACAAATAGTAAATTTTTCATAATTTGGTTCCTCATAAATGTTTTTTTCTTTAAATTAAATTTGTGTAATTGTCGACAACCAGCTTTAAATAATCATTTTTTAAGTTATTTCATTTTAAAATTTTGAATGAGAGGTGGAGTTTCGTTGAGTATTGCTCACACAGGTTTAGTACAGATAATTATAACACTATTCTCCATTTTTCTACCCATCTTAAGAATAAACTTTAATACTAAAATACTATTGATGATATACTATGTGTGGCAATAAACCACGTAACTGTAAAAAAATTAAGGTTTTTAATTGAACAGATTTTATTTAACGTTAAAATTAGTTTCTAATAAATATTAACTACTTAAAGCACTCAAACACTAAATTGGTAGTGAAACTTACTTGTTGAAAGCTTTGTGGATTTGAATGCAAACAATAAATCGGAATCAAAATAAATTGAATCAATTTAAACATATAATAAATAATAACTATTTTAATACATCACAGTAAAGAAGACGGCGGTAGAAATGATTTTAAGGTAATAAGACTTTCTTCGCCTATACAGACATTTAGCATTTATTACTATAAATATATTTTGTAACAGGGTCGAGCTTGCTGATTCAGAGTTAACTGATACAAAATATTAATCTTAGTGTTCATTTGTGATAAAAAAATGTTATCAACTGATTACATTTTAAAAATCATATAATTATTGTACTAAAAAATAAAGTTTAATAACATATAATTAAACATACACAATTGTGATTAATTTTTTTTTAATTACTTTAAGGTGTCATTTTTTTATATTTGATATTGTGTGTTTGTACACTAAATTAAAGTTTGTTTTCCATTTGATTTTTTATTTCAATGATCACAAAATAGTTAATAATGTTTCTATAATGTTTCATATTATTGTTTCTGGCCGTTTTAAGTTTAAACTTTAATACTAAAATAATATTAATAATTTATTATTTGAGACAATGAAACAATTGAAAAAAATTAACAGGTGGTATATTTTAATGTCAAACTTAGTGACTTGTAATAAGTTATGGTTAACTACATAAAGTACTAAACATTAATTGTATTTAATTTTTGGTAGTAAAACTTACTTGTTGAAGTACCAAAACCATGTTTTCGGTGCTGATGTAATTATATAGAAATACAGTGTGTGAGTTTTAAACACAAATAGTAAACTCGTGATTTTCTGTTTCCTTATATAAGTTTTTCTTGAAATTTAATTAAGTGTATATATTATATCAATTAATTTTTTTTTCCACGGTTTTTCTTCGATGATAATTCTACAATAATTAAAAGTATAAAATAATTGTATTATTTTTTGTATAAATTTAATTCAGCTTGGATACTATCAATGATTTATTCTAAATTACCCAGTAGAAAATTTTGAAATATTTAAATTATACATTTTTTAATTAATTAGCAAGCAAAATAACGTTACGTAATAATTCACAATAAATAAAATTAAAATAAAACGTAAATAAGAAGCCGCTATATTAGAAAGACACTAATTGTAAGTTCTATTTAAACCTACAACAAGTTATAAAATAATATCAGAAGTTATAAAATAAAATTGTACTAAGGAGGATAGTTATTTTTTTCACTATCATTTACTAAAATGTTTTAATTGATTTAATTGATTTATACATAAATACACTGACATTGTTGGAATTTTGATCGCGCACAACTATTTAAATAAAACTAATATATAAATGCAATTGTTATAAAATCCATTTTAATTTGACCTTAACTAGAAACAAACATAATGTTTAGATAGATAATGTTATTTTCTAACTTTCATTATTTTATTATAATATTCTTTTATAATTTGACCATGTGTATATTTACAGTTAATATAACTTGTATTTAAAATAATATTCAATTGTACTACAATACGTATTTTTTTCATTCTTATGATGAGGCATCATTAAACATCTAAATGAATATATTTTATTTTGTATAGGCATACAAAAGGTTATAGTATTTAAATTTACTGTTTTTTTTACTCAGATAAAAAAAATTCAACATACCACCCTTTCTCCAGACCAAAATTTTAAATAATAAGCAGAGTTTCGTTGAGTATTATTTATAGGTAATAATAATATTTCTATCCGTTTTAATTTTAAACTTGAAAATATGGTTTTAAATTATTAACAGAATATATTTAATGCCAACTTTAGTGTCTTGTAAAGATTACTACATAAAATACTGTAATATTAAATGTATTTAATTTTGTCAGTAAAACTTACTTGTTGAAGTACGAAATCCATATTTTCGGTTGCTGATGAAATTATATAATTATAAAGTTTGTAAGTTTTAAGCACTTATAGTGTTGGGGGGGGGGGGGACTAATCTTGAAAGACATTACTTTTCCACCCACCAAAAAAAAAAAAAATTTAGCATTCTTTAATACATAACTCTTCAAATAATGTTATATATACACACTTGATGATCAAAATATATTATATTAATTTATGTTTATTAGCTATTATTCACATTCAATTTAATATTAATTTGTTCACTATAGATTTTTACTTGGCAAAATTGTTTTCCGCTTTTTTTATGATTTTATTATTAATATTTTAATCTTATCATTCTTATACAACATTTACATATATTATTTTTTTTCCATAACTCATTTGAATTTAATTTACAAAATTTACTAAAAATTAAATTAAATTTAGTATATATATTTTGTCAATTTAATTTTTTATTTCCACTGTTTCTCCTTGATTCAGACATTTTAACGACATATTATTTTTAATATAAATGTAAATATTTTATCCTAAATTTAATGTAATATCTTCGTTAAATGTTGATAACTTGAATCAAATAATTTAGCTAATCTTGGAAGCCATTGTTTGAAAATGTGTTATTCAAAATTACCCAGTAGGACATTTTTACATAATATTTACATCATAATTTTTAAATTATTTAGCATTTAAAAAACGTTTCGTACTAATACACATTACCTATATCAGATTAATAATACAACGTAAATAAGGGAGTTAAAAAAACCTAAAAATATCGTAAAAGAATCTTAAATTTGAAAAAGAATAATACATATACAATTATGTTTAAATTTTTTAAAATAACCTAAAGGTGTTTAAATTTGTTATTGTGTGTTTGTTTTTTTTCTAAATAAAAGATAGTTATTCTATTCAAATTCTTAACTTTAAAAAACTACACAATTGTGTTTTAAACCTAATACATTTTAAATTATAATCTGATTGTCTGATTTGAATATTTCTAAAAATGCTTCATAAAATACATCATGAACATAAACTTTAAATAGCAATAACTTTTGAACAGTATGTTATAAAAAACTTTTTTAACATTTGTGTATTTAAAATATTAATCGACTACAGAATATCCCAACAAATTGAGGGGTTCCCCGATTAAATTTTAAAAGTTAATACCATGCTTGCGCTAACTATTTATAGTATGATTTTAGATTTAAGCGTTAAATGTGCCTAAAATAAAACCTACCGATATCCAAATATCGGAATTTGAAAAATCAAAATCAGCTCTAAAAATTGGCCGTTTTTTTTGTGTTTTAAATAACTTACAATGCAATATGGCTAAAATCAATTTAAATATAATACAACAATTTTTTTTTAATATTAGGTATTTGAAAACGTGACCTAATTTAAAAATTTTAAAAATAGGTGGAGTTTTATTGAGTATAGCCTATAGGTAATAATAATGTTTTTACCCGTTTTAAGATTAAATTTTAATACATTTATAATGTTGACGATATCATATTTGAAGCAATAAAGCACTGTCAAAAAATATAATTTTTAATTAATATCAAATGCCTACTTTAGTGTCATGTTCTTAGAATTTAATTTTCTATATATATTTTATCAATACATTTTTATTTCCATTGTTTTTCTTCGATTCAGTCAGTAATTGAATGTACATATTTAATAATTTTTGTTATAAATGTAATATTCTTCATTATATTTTTTTCTCATAATGAATTTGTACATTTAACTTTTAAATGAGGAATTTCAATGACACATACTACACTATACTAAAGGACTTTCATTGTTTCATACTAAACCTTATACATAACCATATCGCATCCCCGCTTAAAAAGTAACATAACTCAAAAAACATGATTTTTGAGATTATAGCATATTTTAAATAAATATCATATCATTATTGTGTAAAAACGTCATAAGTCTATTATTATTTTTCACCGATAGATGGCACACGTCACTTTTGGTATAACATTATTTTACATTATGTTGTCCTTTTTTAAATGACTTTACTAAAAAATTTTTCCAGTTGTGTCACTTTTTAAGCGTGGCTGCGATATATTAAAAAAATAACTATACTAAAAAAATGTGTAAAAATTACTACTACAAATTACAATAAAACTTGCACACGTCTGTTTTTATTAGCTAATTAAAATTAATAATCAAATTCTTCTTAAAATCAAATCAAATGTATTCTGAACTAAAAATTAAGGATCATTAATATACTAATATCATAAAAACAATATAAGATGTTATTATTATTATGATAATTTTACTATTTTTTCAAAGGGATTATTACTGGCTTGTGTCAAACATTAACTTTTATTTTTATACTTCTAAAATGAATACACCTATGTAGAGCGACATAATTTTAAATGTATTAGCAAAATTATCCTTAAAATCAAATCAATTTTATTCTGAACAAGAAGCACACAAATCTCCTGTTTCGGAACAATTATTGGATACTAACTATAGCATAAAACCATTTACAAATTTAAATAGTTCTAAAGAACTTAATATTTGAGAAGCAATAGTAACTTTCTGTTATAATATTTTCCTAAAAAAGGGTTTTGTTTAGTTTTACTGACGATACCTTGTTATACTACACTTTGGTGTTTTTTAATTAAATATTAAGTTTGGCTCTTTAGCCTGTTAATTTACTTTTTAAAATATAATACAAATACGCGGAATAAATAAAAAGTATGTTTAGTAAAAAATAATGTGAACTACCAAGTTGCTCATTTTAAAAACTATTGTATAATTGTATATTGTTCTACATTTTAATAAAATAAAACAATTGTTTTAATTAACCTTGGGGTTTCCTACTAGCGATATACAATGTGTTCTTGGAAATTTCCCAGTGGAAATTAAATTTTACCTACCTAGTGGGAAATTTTCAAATATATATTTTAACAACCAATCGAATTTTAATAAAAACCAATACCATCTATTTATATTATAGTTTAATAGGATAATAATATAGCTAAATCTAAAAATAACTGTTGGTTAGGTATTTTATTTTCATTAATATTTAAATATATATTATAGACACATTATTATGATTCCTATTATTTTAATAGTTTTTTAAAAAATGAAGTAATTATTGACGATTCAAGTGTAATAAATAAATAGGAATCACGATAATAGTGTGTATAACAGATATTTATATTTATATTTAATATTCAATAGATAATTATGATTCTTATTAAACATCGACAAGCAAAAAAATTTGAATAATTATTTTCTTTCTTTGGTGTTATCTGCTGTGATTTCATATTTCCTATCATCGTTTCATTTTCTTCTTTCTTGGTCACCAGGGTTGCAACTACATGAAATCGTTTGTTTTATTAAAACACATTTTATAAGTATATAATTTTTTGTAAATCATCGTATGTAGGTTTTTTTTTTCTGAAAAAATTTATGTAATTTCTTGAATTACCTATTTTCAATAAAAATTTAACATACGCAGGTAAATTTGTTATAATTCAGAATGAATATGTAATTGCGAAACATTTTAGTAATACTATGAGATCCAATTATTTTTTACAAGCTCTCGAGAAAATATTTGAATTTTTAGTATTGTTACTTTCAAACATTTTAATAGCTTTAACCAATAGCTCTCACTTTGTATAAAAACAATATGAAAAAAAAAATTTAATTATTTATTTAACCCAGTGAAATACTGACTGGTTCATGATAATGTTTGATGTTTATGGATATGTTTGATAAGTATTTTCTGTCAATTGCAAACAATTGATTATTGTCCTATTTTCGGGAATCGGTGATTTATTAATAGAAACCCATGCTACCCGAATTAAGCAATGTTCATGCGCGTCACCGCATGCATTTAGAACTACACTCCCTAAAACTGCATTCATTTTGAGAAAATT